CTATTAATCTCCAAAAAAAAAAGTGGGAAAAGTCATAAGTGTGCACACACATTCATAACAAACCATGGCTGCGTCCAGGGAGTTTCGGGAAAGCTTAAGACCAGGAACTGAGCTAATGGAGGAGGCGGCTCAGAAAGGCTTTCTAAGGAAATGGGGTTTACGTTGAGATCAAATGGGCCAGTGAATAGGACTTAGCAGGTGGAGAGGCTGCCGAAGAGGTTTTTGACCAAAGGACCCCTGTGCAAGGGCCCTGGGGCCACAAGGAACATGGCCTATTCAGCATCACGGCCAGGGCTGGGGGGGAAGTGGTCAGGGCAGGACTGATAGCACTGCGCCCAGGGTAAGAGAAGTTCTCATTTTGTCCTGAGCAGTGGGCGACCTTTGGAGGATCTTCATTAGGGGGAGAAGCCATCCTTCACTCTGGCTAGGGAATAGAGAATGGACTGGAGGAGTAGGGGCAGCAGCTTGTCAGGCCAGGCCAATGTCCCAGTCAGAAGAAGATGGATTTCAGTGGTGGTAGATGCAGGTGGATTGTGGGGACTGCTGGGGCGGGGCGGGGGGGGGGGCTCCCTTCCCCTTGGGATAGTGGCCAGGAGATGCCCTTACTGGAGTTGGAGGCGGCAGTCCTGCAAGGACCAGCTAAAAAGAGTGACAGCCTTTGTAGGCAACTGCCGGCAGAGTCTGGAACATCTTCCAAGGGGGAGGCACATTGACGGGGTCCCGAACCTCCGTGTCATTCCCGTGCCACTCTGCCAGGCGCTTGTGCTTCCCCTCCAAGCCTGCCCCGACCGCGCCTTCCCCTGCTGCCCGCTGCTCTGGGCCAGCTGCCCCTCTTCCTCTATGGGTTCTCTAGGGAGGAGTCAGATAGGCCCTGGAGTTCCTCCTCCTCCTGCGTGGCACCATCCTCCAAGCCCTGTCTCTCCAGTCCCTTAACCTTCTGAGCCGCCGTGTCCCTGTGTGTAACCTGGGGATGATAATATTAGCACCTCACCGGTGAGGTTGAGATGAATAATGTCAGTTGGCAGTGAAGGCTGCCCTCACTGTAGGTCCACCCCGTGGCAAGCCTGTGCAGGCAGTTTGCAGACCTGCACGCATTCCGCCCACACAGACCTGTGAAGTGGGACTCTCCTAACACTGTTTTGCAAATGAAAAAATGGAGCCTCAGAGATGGTGGGTGACCTGCATATACTAAAGACATAGCTCCCCCAGAGCCCACTGGGCCTTGGGGTGCTCAAAAAAGCTCATGCCATCAAGTCGCTCCCAACCCTTGACCCTACAGGACAGGGTAGAACAGCCCTGTGGGTTTCTGAGCCTGTACCTCTTTCCAGGAGTAGACAGCCTCATCTTCCATCCTCGGAGGGGCTGGTGATTTCAAACTGCCGACCTTGAGGTTAGCAGCCCAACAACTAACCATTCCGCCACCAGCAAGGTGGACTCCCTCCCTAACCTGAAGCTTTAGCCACTACTCCCCACAGTGGTAGTCACCTTGGTCTGTGATCTCTCTGCTGGTCCCTCTTCTCCATGCTGGATCAGCACCCTCTCCTCTCCTGCTGGCTCCCTCCCATCAGCATTTCAACATTGATCTCTCTCTCTCTTTGAAGTGTTTATTGTCCTTGGGGTGAAAGTTTACAGAGTGAATTAGCTTTCCATTCAGCAGTCTGTGCACATGTTGTTTCTTGAAATTCCCTCCTCTGCCCCCTTCCCGTGCCCCCTCCTGTCTTCTGAGCCTTGTTTTTGGGCAAATGCTGATTGTGTGGTTTTGTGGGGTTGATTGTATTCAGGAACAGGTCCCCCGCCCCCTGGTGTGATTGTTTACATTCTAGGCCTGTTTGTTGTTTGGCTGAAAATGGGCTCCATTCCAGCCTCCAAAGGCCACAGTCAAGAAGTTTCCTCAGTCTTCAGACCAGTAGGTCTGGTGGTGTGTCTGTACATTACAGTCATGATGGAGAGAAGAACCCCGGCACCCCCAGATGTGCCCCACTCCTGTTCTCCACCTCCATCCACCCCCATGGCTCCAGCCAGCAAGGTGACTCCTCCTCTCCTTTAGCCCCCACCTAGCTGCACCCTCAGAGGCCTAGACAGCTCAGTCCCTAAAGCATCTCTGGACATCTTCCCAGGGACCTCCTAGTGTGATTCTAGTCGGAGTGGTTGGTAGTAGCTGGATACCTTTCAGATCCTCTCGTCTCAAGGCTGTGGTTCACCTGGGCTGTTAGCCCTATAGACCAATTGTTTCCTTAGCTCTCTGGTGTTTCCTCTCTCTTCATTGCTCAGGTGGGAGGAAGCTAGTTGATTGCATGTCAGATGACCACTGGCAGCCAGTCTCGCTCCGCACCAAAGTAGGAGTAGTTGCTGCTGCTGCTGCTCGGTGCTGTGAGTCCGGCCCAGCCCATGGCGACCCTGTGCCCAGCAGAACCAAGCACTGCCGGGCCGGCACCGTCCCAGAATGGTTCCTGTGCTTGAGCCCATTGTGGCAGCCGCTGTCTCAGCCCATCTCTTGGAGGGCTTCCCTCTCTTTGGCTGCCCCTGTACTTTTTAGCAAGCTTGATATCCTTCTCCAGGGACCGGTCTCCCCTGACAACATGTGCAAAACATGTCGAATGTTGGCTCTTTCGGTGGACTGTGTTCACGCCGCAGTTGACCTGGATGTCCCAGTGACTTACTCAGTGCGTGTTTGGAATGCTGTGTGCTGTAGCGACCCTTGGATGCAGATGGGCAGCACATCGAAACGCATGTGTAGGACCCTCCTCTGCCAGACCCATCTCTGCAGATGGACTCAGGCGCCTTCTCTTTCCCTGTGTGTTTAGCCTGCGTGTCAGCGTTTGGATCGACTTTGAGGGATGGCTTGTTGTTAGGGCACAGTACGCAGCACCGTATTTACCTTTTTACCTTTCTGCACCTTCCAGCAAACCCCTGCCATGATCATGTTGTGCTGTCAACATCGGACCTCTTTAGAAAAAGAGAAGCAACACATTTGAAACCTCCAGCCCGCACCAGCCTTCTCCAGTTCCCCAGCCCCAGCCAGTCTCCTCACTGCCGCACTCGGCTCTACTTCCCCACCCCACGCCCTCCCACCGGCCACTGACCCTGCTCTGAGCAAGGTCCCCGACAGCCCCACGTGAGCGAGCAGCTACGTGCCAGGTGTCATGTGGCTCAGCTTTCTGCCAGTAGCTGCCTGTGTGACCTTGGCCCCGTGACCTGACCTCTCTGAGCCTGTCACCTGGGGATACTGCGATGAAGGACTAAATGAGATAGCATGCATGAAGTACCTGGCACAGGGTGGGTGCCCCTGAGGGTTTTTACACCAGAGCCAGGCCAGGCCCGAGGCACCGAGCAGGTGGTCTGAAAGGTCATTTCTCACGGTATCAGCCCTTCCTGGGGCTGTTCATTGGTCTGACTAATCGGCAATGGATCCGCTGTCGGGATTAATGAGGTGTTGCTATGTCTCAATGAAGCTCAGCTTCTCTCTCGTGACCCTGGGCAGTGGGGCTCACTGGGTAGGGGGTGCTCGGGACTCAGGACTCACCCGTGCGCAGCAGGTGATGTGGGTGTGGCAAGTACAGCGTCTGCACCCCTTCCCCCACCTCCCTGTGGACACTTTGGGGAGACAGCCAGGCTGTTTAGAAGGCAGTAGCCAAGTCAGTGGGGGCAGGGGTGGGGTGGGCAGATTTACAGGAAAGCATTCACCTGGGAAGGCGTCCAGAGATGCTTAGGAACTGGAATGTCTAGGCCTGTGAGGCTGCTGCTACGGGAGGGGGGGCAGGGGGGACTGTAGGAGAGGGGAGGTGCATTCCTGGTGGAGGGAGGTACCATCTCCAAGGTGCAGAGCAGTGGGGGTGGGGGCAAATCTAGAGGAGCTAGCTGGGCCCCTCCCAGCAGCTCTTCACCAGGCCTTTGTCCCAGAGCTTGGAGTTAACCGGGAATTCAAGACAGGCTCCAGTGTTGCTAGACCCAGAACATCTAGGTTCAGATCTGGATGCTGTGTTAGGGGGGCAGATCCTTGACCCTCTCTGTGCCTTGCAGAGGCAGTGATAAAGTAAAACAAACCTCACCGCCATCAGGTCAGTGTGCCACAGGCACCCTACAGGAGGGGGTAGAGCCGCCCCTGGGAGTTTCCAAGGCTGTAACACTATATGGGGGTAGAAAGCCTCTTTCTCCCACGGAGCAGCTGGCAGCTTCAGACTGCTGACCATGCGGTTAGCAGCCAGATGCATAACCACTACGCCAGCGGGGGTCCGTGTAAGGTAGTGATAGCTCCCATTTATATGTTTGGGGTGGGGGGAGGTAGGGTAATCTGTGAGAATTCTTGCCTTGGGCGAGGAGACCTGGCTAATGTACCTCACGCCCAGCCACCACCTGTGGGCCAGGGGAGGTTTGCATTTTGCTGTGAAGCTGAACAGGTTTCAGACTAAGTCTAGGAAGGCCTGGCGGTCGACTTAGGAAAAGCCCTGTGGAAGCCAGCGGGTTGGTTCTTGGTACGTAGGGTGCCAGGGGTAGGCCCGCTCAGTGGTAGCTAACAACAGTTACCCAAAGATTGGGAGTTCCACTCTGCCCAGAAGCACCTTGGAAGAACAACCTGGCGGTCTGCGTATGGAGTTCGCGCACGCTTGATCCTGGCTGGCACGTAGTAAGCGCTGCGTGAGCGTTAGGGACAATTGTTTCCTCTGTAGGCTTTTCTAAGGAGCCCCACAGGCATAGTGGATTGCAAGTTGGGCTCCTAACTGCAAGGTCAGTAGTTTGAGTCCAACAGCCACTCATCAGGGAGAAAAGTGAGGCTTGATCCTCCTGTAAAGATTCACAGTCTCAGAAACCCAAAGGGGCAGTTCTGTTCTGCCCTGTAGGGAGGCTATGAGTTAGAATTGACTCCAGGCAGTGAGGTGTAGTTGGTCTAGACCTTTCTTACCCGACCCCTACCCCCAGGGACCCCCACCTACAGTCCGTAGGTAGCCATATCTGCAGTCACCACGTTGTGTGATTAGCCCTTCTGTCTCCATCTTTTCCAGGCAAGCCTGTCTTCATTAAGGTCCCTGAGGACCAGACCGGGCTGTCGGGAGGAGTGGCCTCCTTCGTGTGCCAGGCCACAGGGGAGCCCAAGCCACGCATTACTTGGATGAAGAAGGGGAAGAAAGTCAGCTCCCAGCGCTTTGAGGTGCGTGCCTGGGTGGGAAGAGGCAGGTGGGGCTGGGGCTGCCTGCTCTGGGGTCTGGCCCTTCATCTTCTCCCAGTAGTCTCCCCGCCCGGGGCAGGACTGCTCAGCTCGAGCAGACCCCCATGCCCCACGCAGGCTGTGATCACACATCTGTCTTCTGGCAGGTAATTGAGTTTGACGACGGGGCAGGGTCAGTGCTACGGATCCAGCCGCTGAGGGTGCTGCGAGACGAAGCCATCTACGAGTGCACAGCCACCAACAGCCTGGGAGAGATCAACACGAGTGCCAAGCTGTCTGTGCTGGAAGGTACGTGCCAGGAGCGAGCGACGTAGGCAGGCCCAGTGGGGTGTGGTGAGAGCCCGCCAGCCCTGGGTCTGTGTGCATTGGCAGAGAAGAGGACCAGCCTTCCAGGGTCGGCAGTGGCCCGTGGGGCTATCTGATCTGGCCTGGGTTCCCCGACTCGTGCCAAGGCTGGCTGTGTGCAAGGTGTCTGAGTTCTCCCTGGGCAGGGCCTCGGGCCTGACTCAGGGTATGGTATGCTGTGTGGTGGGTTCCAGGGCTGGTGGCAGTGGATCTGATGTGCCTACAGGAGCCTGGCTGGAGTCCGCTATGAGTGAGGGCCCTGGGCTGGGCTCTGTCTCGGAACTTTGTGCCTCCTCTCACTTGGTGGCTCTTCTGTCCATTCACAAACACTCCCTGATGCTGCCTTCCAGTCCAGAGGGTCCTGTGACTGGGGCCCCACCTTTGATGAGTCAAAGTCTCCACTTACGTCCAGCAGAGGGGCAGGCACAAAGGGCTGCAGGGAGGAGGAAGCCAATGTCCAAGGACAGTAGGAGCTGATGAGAACGCAGGGGACGAGGCAGAAGCACAGCATGTGCGGGCCCAGAGGCAAGAGCAGCTGGGGCTTCAGGGCACCCTGAGTTGCTCCACTTGTTCAGGGAATCAGGGAGAACACAGCAGGAAGCAAGCAGCGATTTCCCGAGCCTGAAGGGCAGACGGCACAGGGCCAGACTGAGGACTGGATGCTTCCTGAGGCCTGGGATCTACCAGTGGACTGGGGCGTCTGTGGTGAGAGCCAGCCGCGATGGGCTACTCATCCGAAGAGATGCGTGTTAAAACATGGCCCCGGTGGTGCTGTGTTTCCTTCTTTTTGCAGCACCCCTATCTGCTCACTGTCAAAAACGTGAAAAGTATCAACTAGCAAACACATCAGGAGGAAAAGAAAATCTGCTGTGTCAGTCTGGGCGGACTAGAGAAACAACGCCACGACACACGTATGTGTATAAGAAAGAGATTTATACACAAGACGAATTGAGCATTGAGAAAACAGCCCAGTCCAGATCAAGTCCATAAGTCTGGTATTAGCCCATATTTCAGATATCAATCTATAAAATCCTTTTCAGACTCACGAAACGCATGCAATGGTGCTGGATGCAGAAGATCACAGGCCAGTGGGTAGAAAGTCTTTGAATCCAGTGTCAATGGAAACATCTCAGTGCTGGCAGGGGTCTCTCTGTGGCTTGTCCGGCTTCCGAGGTCTGGTTGCGTCCATGTGGCTCGTCTTCTGCAATGTCTCCCAGGGAGTAGAGAGAGAGAGACAGAGAGGTGTCTCCCACCTCCAAGGAGGAAGTACCAGATCTCCCAGAACTCTTAGGGGAAGGCCATGCCCACAGAAGTCTCATTGGCTATCTCCAGATTGACAGCCTACACTCTTAATCCTTAAATTGACACCAGATTAGGTGACTACCACACCTGTGATCCTACCTCCGTTATTGACAGTTGGTGCTACACTTGCAGTCTGTGTTCTGTACCTGGAGTTCCTGGGTGGTGCACATGGTTGATGTGTTGGCTGCTGATTGAAAGGTTGCGGGCTCACGTCCACCCAGAGGCACCTCAGCAGAAAGGCTTGCCAGTCTGCTGCCCAAGAATCAGCCGTGACAAACTTCATGGACCCGTGGGGCTGCCCTGCGTTGGTGGCACTGGATGTGACAGTAACTGGTTTGAGATTTGTCGTCGTTCTGTCTGTATCGGGAGCCTGGCCTCGGTGGCACAACAGTTTGGCACTCAGCTGCTAACCAAAAGGCTGGTGGTTCAAACCTGCCGAGCAACTCCGTCAGAGAAAGGCCTGGCCCGTCTGCTCTGTCACATGAGGTCACCAGGAACTGAAACAGACTTGGGAGCCGCTGACACCCAACATCATCTCAATGAGAGGGGGCTTCAGAAAGTTCATGGAAAATTCCTTTAGTTTTTAATTCCATTTCTCCACGGACTTTTTGAAGCCCCCTCATCGATACACAATAAAATGGGATCATGTTCCATCCTGTGATTCATAGATTGCTTTTTTTCCCCCCTTAAAATGTGAGCAAAAAAAAAAAAAAAATGTTGTGAGCATCGTCTTGTCATGAAATCTTCCTCTGCATCATAGTTTCTAGTAGCTGTGGGTAAATGGCCATGTGCCAGGGCCCTGATTTGTGTAGTCTTCTCCTGATTGCATATGTGCTGTGCTCAGGTTGTTGGTTGGCACCCTTAGGAGCCCTGGGAGCTCAGGTGTTGGCCTACTAACCACAAGACGGTGGTTCAAACCCACAGCTGCTCTGGGAGAATGAGACTGTCTGCCATCTTCCAGATTTGCTGTCTTGGAAACTTGATCTGGGATTGCTCTGAGTCGGAATCAGCTGGATTGTGTGTCTCCTTGTCGGGAAGTAGGGTGCTTACTGTCCTGATTGTCTTTGCTCCAGATTCGTGGAAGTGGGATTGCTGGTCAAGGGTCACATGCGTTTTAAACCTTTCTGTGTTTCCAGAAAATTGTGTCCGTTGAGGTCTCCCCCTATCCCACCCCTACCCCCACCCCAGGCAGGGCATAGGAGAACCAACCTCTTATTTACAGCATTTATTTATTTTACACATGCCTACCAACAATGGGAATTATTGCTAAAAAAGGAAACTTTGCCAAGCTAATAGGCAAAGAAACTAGCATGTAATTTGCATTTCTTTGATTGCGCGAGCCGTCGAGCATCTTTTCACTGTGGCTGTTTGTACACCCTCGTTTTGTGTGTTCACTTGTGCGTCCCTGCAGTCAGGTGTGTGTGTGTGTGTGTGTGTGTGTGTGTGTGTGTGTGCGCGCGCGCCTCTCCCATCTGCAAAAGTGGGCACTACAGGACTCCCTTCTCCCCTTGCCCAGCCCCCGGCCTTGTGGCACAAAGGGCAGTGAGGAGGGATAGTGGCCCAGAGCACAGGTCCTGGACCCACTCCTCGCTCACTGTGTGGTCTCTGGGAAGTGCCTGTGCCCCTGAGCCGCCTCCTGTCGACAGGGATGTAACAGCTATCTGCAGGCTGGTGTGGACTTAAGCACTTCTCGGATTCCATAAATGGCAGCGCTGGTGGGCTGGAAGCTGCCCATCCCGAGACCTAGATGTGAGAGCTGGCCCTACTTGGGTTTCATGCTGACTGGCACCCTTTTGAGTGGTCCGCCCCCCACCCCACACTCCCCTTCAGCAGAGACTGACCTCTGGGGCCAGAGCCCGGAGGACCGACCATGAGCTAGAATCAGAGAGGGCTTCGTGCCCTCGGGCTTCTCCCTGACCTGACCTGAGTTTCCGTACTCCTTACCTGGGGACAAGTATTTCTGCCCTGCCCTACCTCCTGTTGACATCTGCCCCAGCAGAGAGCCATCTGCCCCACCCTGGCATTTGAGAGATGGCGGAAGGGCCAGAGCTATGACTCCTGCCCTGCAGAAACTCCCCTCAGCCTCAATCAGAGAAAGGAGCCAAAAGTCAAGCCCATGGCCGGTAACTTGATTCCAGCTCCCGCCTGCCCCTGGGTCCCACGAAGGCCCTGCAGGCCAGAGCGCTTGACTCCCTGTGGAGCATGGAACTCTTAACACTCTCCACCACCCAGCAAGCTGGAACCATCAACCTTCCTGTTGTAGCCACTCACTGTGCGCCCCCCAGGGAGCTATCTCCCCCCCCCCACCCCTCTTCCCCAGCTCTGACCCTAACACCAACAGTCTGTGGATCCCGGGGGCTCTCCTCCCACCACCCTTGTCCTCCTTGGCAGCCTTTATCTTTTAAAGGCTTGAGGCCAGTGAACGTGGTCTTCCAGGCCCAGAGGTGAGGGGGATCCAGACTGGCCGGGGCGGGAGGACGCCTTCTTCCTTTGGAAGTACCTTCTTGGAGGAGGGTTCCTGAGCAGGAACCTGGGGTATGAGGACTTCTGAGGAACTGGAAAGCGGGGGGTGTAGTTCCCTGCCCATTCCCATGTGCCCAGTGTAGAGTAGAGCCCTGGGTCTGAAAGAGCCCCTCCCACCCTTGAAAGGGAGCACCCGGAAGACAGAATGCTGACTTACCATATTAGGCTGTGTAACCTTGACCAGCTCTGGGCTTGGCAGAAGGGAGTGGATACAGGCCTCCTGGATGCCAGGGGGCGGAGCCAGAGGAAAACAGCCCAGACCCACCCCGTGAAGCCCTGGAAGGCTGGGGTGTGCTGAGCACAGGGACAGGGTGAATGGCTGGTTTGACCGGGGTTCTGCGGGGGAGCAGGGGGAGAGCCAGGCCATTCCTGGGAGGACCACGAGGTCTCTGGGTGAGGAGAGGATGAAGGAGACTTGGAGACAGGGACTCAAGAGTTCACCCCTTACCTGTGCCACACACGTGGTAGGTACCCCCAGAGGTATATGTGTTTGTATACATGCTCAACACACATGGGCCTCCTTGGAAGGGACCCCCTGCCTAAGAAACCTGCACCCCTACAGGAAACCCAGGCATACAAGTCTAGGGGGTGGCCACCCACCCTTGCCAGGCCCAGCTGCGTTCTCATGTGGGTCCCTGTCTCAGGTCCCTGCTCCACTACAGCCTGTGTGCACACCACCCACTCCTGCTTTCTCGCCTTTTGCAACTACCCATCCCACTCCCACTCCCACTGTGGCCCATGGCCACCCTGCGGTGCCTGTCCCGCCCCCCGCCGGGCATACGGTGGGGTGCCCAGCACACACTGGCTGGGAGAGCCTGTCCTGAGCCGCGAGGGAGCACGGGCCCGCCGCCCAGCGTTCCTGTCTGAGTGGTAATTGAAGCCATTAGCGCGGCAGCCTCTCCCTCGCCGGGTAATGGCAGGAAAAGCTCTTCTCGCTCCGCACTCTTGAGGCAGCGGCTGAATCACTCCCCCTCCAACCCACTGCCACTGAGACAGGAATCTGACATTTTCCCTAACGGGAGGGACAGTGGTGGGGGAGGGGAGGCAGGCCTGGCCTTTCTCCCAGGAGGTTTGGGCGGTCCATCTAGAAGAAGATCCTGGATGCCCCCTGGGGAGGT